TGGCAGCATACCTCGACGACCTATTAATCGTAGCTAGTTCGCAAGATGAGTTACGCAAGAGGATCGAAGAAGTCCTTCAATGGATTCAGGACAACGGACTCAGACTTCGCCAGGAAAAATGTGAGTTTTTCCTGACATCAGTAACGTATCTGGGTTTTATCTTTGACGCCTCTTGCCGACATCCGGACCCTGAGAATATCCGTGCTATTCAACAAATGCCGACTCCCTAAGATGTTCCCTCGTTGCGCTCCTTCTTGGGACTAATCAGTTATTACTCGGCTTTTCTACCGTCGATGCACAATGTCCGACCACCACTGAATCACTTGCCTGGAAAGGACGTACCTTGGATTTGGTCCGACGAGTGCGAAGAGGCCTTCTGTCAACTCAAATCAATGCTCAGTTCGGACCTACTGCTGACCCATTATAATCCAGCCCTACCAATTGTTGTTGCAGCTGACGCCTCCGCCAAGGGCATCGGAGCCGTCATCCTCCACGTTTTCCCCGACGGCACAGAAAAGGCCATAATGCACGCATCCAGGTCGCTGACAACGACAGAACAGCGTTACGGACAGATTGAGAAAGAAGCTCTCGCTTTGGTTTTCGCTGTCCGCCGTTTCCACAAGCTCATTTATGGCCGAAGATTCACTCTCCTGACAGACCACAAGCCGTTGCTATCAATCTTTGGATCTAAAACAGGCATCCCAGCTCACTCCGCGAACCGCCTGCAAAGATGGGCACTTATCTTATTGGGCTACGACTTCGAAATCCAGTATCGTCGCACAGAGGATTTTGGGCAGGCAGCAGGTATCTCAAACGGTTCGTGCGCTGCCGGTTTCATTTCTCGACATTAAACGGGAAACGGCCTCGGACAACACACTACGGCAGGCCATCCGTTACGTCCAGGGCAAAAGGCCAAAACGCTCCCCCACTGGAGATCTTCAGCAGTTGTTCCAGCGACGCGATTCCCTCTGCGTTATAGACGCCTGCCTGATGTTCGGAGAACGCGTTGTGGTGCCCAAATCACTGCGTTTGCGGGTTCTTCGTCAATTTCACACTGGTCATCCCGGCATAGGTCGCATGAAGTCTATTGCCCGCAGTTACGCTTACTGGCCAAATATGGATCAGCAAATCTCAGACCTAGTCAAGAGTTGCCGCCAATGCCAGCAGGCCGCCAAGAACCCTCCCAAGGTTCCTTCGGTCCCTTGGCCACAACCACAAAAACCCTGGTCACGGATCCATATCGATTTTGCTGGACCGATCAACGGAGTCTCGTACCTTGTGCTAGTGGACGCATACCCAAAATGGCCAAAGATCGTCCC